TGTTGCCGGGGAACAAACGGTGTTGTTTATTATAATTTAGAAGTAGTGTTAGAAAATTATTAGCTCAAATCAAGTTTCAAAGGTGTTGAACAAATTTCATTAAAATTCTAACGTTTGAACTCTTGTGGAATTCAGGTGTATGCCTAGAAATTCTTCGAGGAATGAAGAACTGCTTGAAGGACTTTCAGACCCCGAGAAGACATTCAGGGAATTGAACCATGCCAACAAGAGGATCCAACAATCACAACAACCACACCAGCTTGAAATTGACATGGGTGACGTAGAGAACGTCAACGGAAACATCTGGGATGAGCCAGTTGACCCAAATGTCAGAGTGGTGGCACCTCTTGTGCCAGAAGCTGCACTTTATGATTGGGCTCAACCCACAGCTGACAACCTGGCAACTGCCATAGCTGTGCCCGCAATTCAAGCGGAGACATTCCAGATCACCAACAACATGCTGCATCGCTGCAGAATAAGGGACTGTTCTCCGGGTCACACATTGAGGACCCTCAGCAACATTTGAAAAAATTTCTGTCAATTTGTGTGATGCAAAGGCAGCCAAATGTGACCCCAGAAGCTATCAAGCTATTGCTGTTCCCGTTCTCTGTAACTGGGGAAGCTCAGACATAGGCTAAATTCGCTCCCAATCAATTCCATTGTCACCTGGGAGGAATTAGTAAAGCAGTTCCTGAATAAGTTCTACCCGCCCAACAAGACTGCAAAGCAGATTGATGAAATATTGCAATATAAGCAGCAGCCGACTGAAACCTTGCAAGAAACGTGGGAGAGATTTAAAGGGATGCTGGTGAAGTGTCCTCACCATGGCATTCCAGAACAGATGCTTGGCCGGAGGTTCATGGGGTTAGCTGACAATCTAAAGGCCAATGTGGATGCTTCAGCTGGAGGTGCATTTTTGAGTAAGACATTCACCGAGTGCAAAGTTCTTCTTGACAAGATGTCCCAGAATTCGGGGTGGATGACTAGAGGTACAACACTGGCACCCATAGTGCATTCAGTTCCTCTTGACCCAAATAATTCGCATGCAGAGAACATGGCCACACTCATGACTCAGATGAGTATATTGACAAAGAAGATAGATGAGATGGCTACAAAATAGGTGCATATTGTTGATACAACAAATGGAGGACTGTGTACACCCTGTGTTAATCAGTCTTATGTGTGTCCATGGAGCGGAGAAGGTGAAAATCCAGGGGCAAGAGAAGATATGAATTATGTTAACAACTTTGAGGGTCAGAGACAAGGAGGACAGTAGTGGATACCGGCACCAAATTAGCAATATACACCAAACATGCCACAGCCTGGGGGTATGCAAACTCAAGGCCAAATGGTGCCATACCACTAGAGACAACAAGGCTACCCACAGAAGAACCAACAACAGTTGACATATCAACCACCTCCTCAGCAGCAAGATAACAACATGGTAGAGATTAGGGGGATGCTTCAGCAACTCCTTGGGACAAATGGTAAGATGCAGGAAAAATTGGTAGTGCATGATTCAGCTATAAAGAACATTGAAACTCAGTTGGGGCAGTTGTCTATGGATTTAAACAACCGGACCCAAAGAACATTGCCAACGGATACAATATTAACCCCAAGGAGCAAAACCCGAATCAACTGATGGCAGTAAGTCTCCAGAATGGGAGAGATTTAGACAAAGAGCAGGAGGTTGCACAAGCCAGCAAAGAGACTACGCCAGCCACTCCAATTCCACTAGAGGTAAATGAACCAACAAATCTGACTGAAGTGGTGGTTGAACAGGGTCCAGAGGAAAAAGGTAAGGCTAAGGTGAATGAACAAGCTGTAGAACAGGTGGTGCCTCTTGTGCCACAGAACTCCAACAGAGAGAAGCCAGCAAGCAGTGCACAAAGGGTGATACCTGCACCATTCCCTCAGAGACTGGTAAAACAAAAGAAGAAAGATCAATACAAGAAATTCATGGAGATGCTACGTCAAATTCAGTTGAATATTCCTTTGATGGATGCATTGAGGGAAATGTCAGGTTATGCGAAGATGACGAAAGACCTAATGTCACGGAAGTTTGATTTTCAGGATCTATCCACAGTGACTCTGACGCAGACCTGCAGCATAGTAGTGAACAGACCGATGGCTCAAAAGATGTCTGACCCAGGCAGCTTTACTATTCCATGCACGATTAGGAGTTATGCCTTTGCAAAGGCATTATGTGATTTAGGAGCCAGTATAAATTTGATGCCTCTGGCTGTATACACCAAACTGGGCATTGGCAGAGCTAGACCGACTTCGATGTTGCTGCAGCTAGCTGACCGCACGGTAAAAAAGCCTACTGGGATTCTTGATGATGTGTTGGTGCAAGTGGGAAAGTTCGTGTTCCCTGCAGACTTTGTTATTCTGGACTGTTAGGTAGATGAGGAGATACATATCATTTTAGGTAGGCCATTTTTGGCCACTGGGAGAGCACTGATCGATTGTGAGACTGGGGAGTTAAAAATGAGACTGAACGATGAAGAAGTCATATTCAATGTTCAGCAATCTATAAGGAGGCCCAATGAATATGCTAATTTCTCTCTAGTGGAGGCAGTGGATGTGATCCTTCAAGAAGATGATGTGACCCTGACTGCTAAAGATCTATTGGAGGCATGTCTGACAAATTTGGAAGAGATGGATGGTGAAGGGTTAGCTGAGTGGGTCATGGCACTTGAAGGCCAAGGCTTCTGGAAAAGGGAACCTCAGTTCGAGTCCCTTGAGTTAGAAAAAAGGACTACACCTCCAGCAAAGCCATCAGTAGAGGAACCACCCAAGCTGGAGCTGAAGCCTCTCCCACCTCACCTCAGGTACGTTTTCTTAGGCCCTGATTCTACTTTGCCTGTTATTATATCATTAGGTTTGCTAGATGTGCAGGTAGAATAGCTCTTACAGGTACTGCAGGAAAGTAAGACTGCCATTGGCTGGACCATGGCAGACATAAAGGGTATCAGCCCAGCCTTCTGTATGCACAGATTCTCCTGGAAGAAGGGCACAAACCTTCCAGAGAACATAAAAGAAGGCTGAACCCAAACATCAAAGAGGTAGTAAAGAAGGAAGTGATCAAATGGTTAGATACGGGAATCATCTTCCCCATCTCTGATAGCAATTGGGTCAGCCCTGTCCAATGTGTGCCGACAAAGGGAGGAATGACTGTTCTGCAAAATGAGAACAATGAGTTGATCTCAACTCGTACAGTCACGGGATGGCAAATTTGCATGGATTATCGAAAATTGAGCACAGCCACCCAAAAGGACCACTTTCCCTTGCCATTCATTGACCAAATGTTGGACAATCTGGCCGGGCGATCGCACTTCTATTTCTTGGATGGATATTCGAGGCACAATCAGATATCGATAACCCCCGAAGATAGAGAGAAAACATCCTTCACGTGTCCGTATGGAATCTTCGCCTTCCGGAGAATGCCTTTTGGGCTTTGCAATGCACCGGCGACATTTCAACGGTGCATGTTAGCCATTTTCACAGACATGGTGGAGGATATCATGGAAGTCTTTATGGATGATTTCTCTGTTGTGGGGGATTCATTCGAGGACTGTCTTCACAACTTAAGAAGAGTGCTCAAAAGATGTGTGGAGACAAATTTAGTGTTGAACTGGGAGAAGTGCCATTTTATGGTACAGGAAGGGATAGTCCTGGGGCATCGAGTGTCTAGTAAAGGAATTGAGGTCGACCATGATAAGGTTGACGTTATTGAAAAGCTACCACCGCCCACTTCAGTCAAGGCGGCGAGAAGTTTCCTTGGACACATCGGGTTCTACAGGCGATTCATAAAAGATTTCTCTGAAATTGCTAACCTATTATGCAAACTCCTTGAAAAGGATCACCCCTTTGTGTTTTCTAATGATTGCAGGTTGGCATTTGAGGAGCTGAAGAAGAGATTGGTGACTGCACCCATCATTGTTGTACCCAACTAGGAGCAACCATTTGAGCTTATGTGCGACGCAAGTGACTATGCCATAGGAGCAGTCTTGGGGCAAAGAAAGGATAAACTGATGCACCCGATTTACTATGCAAGCAAAACGCTAAATGGTGCATAACTCAACTACACTGTGACGGAAAAAGATATGCTGGTTGTTGTTTTCGCATTTGACAAATTCAGGTCATACTTGATTGGTTCGAAAGTTATTGTTTACACTGACCATGCATCAATTAGGTACCTGATAGAAAAGAAGGAGTCAAGCCATGCTTGATTTGCTGGGTTCTTCTGTTACAAGAATTCGATCTGGAAATACGTGACCAAAAAGGGACAGAGAACCAAGTAGCTGACCACTTCTCAAGGTTGGAAGGAGCTAAAAATAAGGTAGAGGTTGAGGATATAACAGAGACATTCCCGGATGAACAATTACTAGCAATGACAATGGAGGAGGCACCTTGGTATGCTGATATTGCTAATTATTTAGCAAGTGGTATTGTACCTTATGAACTCTCCTCAATTCGAAAGAAAAATTTCTTTCGTGATTGTCGGAATTATTATTGGGATGAACCTCTATTGTTTAGAATATGTGTAGATAACATGATCCGACGTTGTATCCCCGAGAAAGATCAACATTCTGTTTTGCAAGCTTGCCATGCTTCACCATATTGGGGACACTTTGGAGGAATTAGGGCATCAGCTAAGGTTTTGGAGTCAGGCTTATACTGGCCTACGCTGTACAAGGATGCCCATGCTTGGATTAAAAGCTGCGATGACTACCAAAGGACTGGCAACATATCTAGTAGACACGAGATGCCAATGACCACAATTCAAGAGCTGGAGATTTTTGACATGTGGGGGATTGACTTCATGGGGCCATTTGTCAGCTCGTATGGGAACAAGTACATATTGGTAGCAATTGACTATGTCTCCAAGTGGGTCGAAGCAGTGGCTCTTCCGACCAATGATACTAAAGGGGTACTAGGCTTTCTAAGGAAGAACATTTTCACAAGTTTTGGTACCCCAAGAGCTATACTTAGTGATGGCAGATCAAACCCATTTCTGCAATAGAGCATTCGCACGACTGCTGGAAAAATATGGAGTTCGTCATAAAGTGACCACCCCGTACCACCCACAATCGAGCGGGCAAGTTGAAGTGTCTAACAGGGAGATTAAAAGTGTCCTCACAAAAACAGTGAATGCGACAAGGACTGACTGGGCGAAGAAATTGGATGATGCATTGTGGGCGTACCGTACAACCTTCAAAACCCCAATTGGCATGTCACCGTACAAGTTGGTGTTTGGCAAGGCATGCCACCTCCCAGTTGAGCTAGAACATAAAGCACTTTGGGCATTGCGAAAGTTGAACTTAGAATGGAGACTGCAGATACTAACAGAGTCACTGGGTTACATGAGCTGGAAGAATTCAGGTTCCAAGCCTTTGAGAGTGCTAGACTATACAAACAAAGGATGAAATTAATGCATGATAAGCACATCGTGGATCGAAACTTCAAACTTGGAGATCTAGTGTTGTTATACAAGTCGAGATTGAGATTGTTTCCGGGTAAGTTAAAGTCTCGTTGGTCAGGACCACTCAGAGTGGTGCAAATGTTCGTAAGTGGAGCTGTAGAGATTGAATCAGAAGATGGGACAAACAAGTTCACAGTAAATGGTCAAAGGTTGAAACATTACCTTGGAATGGCTGAAGAAAAAGGGGATAGAGTGGCAATTAATTTGGAAGAGCCCCAATATGCGAATGAAGAGTGATGATCGCATGCTTGCGTCTTGCCGCGATGTTAAATCAGGCGCTGTGTGGGAGGCAACCCACGAATGTGTTGTTTGTGTATTATGTAACTCCATTTATCAAGAAAAAAACACTGGGAACGCCTGGATTAGCGCGCCCGCGCTACACCAGCGCTAAGGCAGCGCTAATCAGGTTTTATTATGCCTCGCTTGTGGAAAAACTAGCGCGGCCGTGCTAAGCCCGCGCTAGTTGGGTTTTATTCTGCCTCAGATTCAACCCACTAGCGTGGCCGCGCTAAGCCAACGCTAAGCCCGCGCTAGTTGGGTTTTATTCTGCCTTGTTTTGATTAAACTAGCACGCCCGCGATAAGGCCGCACTAGTCCAGGTATGTCCAGAATTTTTTATTTATTTTCTTTTTATTTTATTCTTTTACCTCATTTAACTTAAAACCTACACGGCCCACCCCTCTTAATTCCCCCACTTTCTTCCTCTCACACGACCACCAACCTAAACCCTCCCTTCTTCTTCTTCCTCATCTATTCCTCCATTCCCCCTCATCCATACCCAACCATATACAGCACCACCTTCCTTCTCTTCCTCCATTGTGGGGGTGATATGTGTTTATTGGGTTAATGTAACGACCCGACCGGTTGTTTTGAGCTCTAGCGCGGCGTTCAGCAGTCTGAGGTCATGAGCAGCTTCATTTCCGGTATATTGACTTGTACGCGTGGCCGAAATTGAATTTTGGTAAGTTCAGAATGGATTTGGAAGGAGAATTCTCATTTTGAAAGCTTAAAGTTGAAGAAATGAACTAGGATTGGAATTTTGAGTAAATGACCTTGGAATCGGGATCCGAAGGTTCCAGCAGGTCCGTGTGATGATTTCGGACTTGGGCGTATGCCCGGTTCGGATTTTGGATAACCCGAGAGCGTTTTGGCGCCCATTGTAGAAGTTAGCATTTTAGAAGAAATTGCATCAGTTTGGCTTAAAGTGCATTTGAGTGTTATTGATGTCCGCTTAGGATTCCGAGACTGGGAGTAGCTCCGTATGGTGATTCTAGAGTTGGGAGCGTGATCGGAAGTGAATTCGGAGCTCCGTATGTCATTTTGAAAGCATTTGGCTAAAAATAGAAATTTGAAGGTTTTTGAGAAGTTTGACCAAAAGTGGACTTTTTGATATCGGGGTCGGAATCCGATCACGGAAGTTGGAGTAGGTCCGTAATGACAAATATGACTTGTGTACAAAATTTGAAGTCAATCGGACGTGATTTGATAGGTTTCGACATCGGAAATAGAAGTTGGAAATCTCAAGGTTCATTAAGCTTGGATTGGAGGTCGATTCGTGGTTTTGACGTTGTTTGATGTTATTTGGGGCCTCGAGCAAGTCCGCAATGTGTTTTGGGACTGGTTGGTACGGTTGGTTGGGGTCTCGGGGGCCTCGGGATGATTTCGGATGGCTAACGGGAAGTTTTGGACTTGTGAAACTTCATTGTTGTTGTTGCTTCTATTATTTCCGCTTCTGCGGAATTGGGACCGCAGAAGCGGCGTCGCAGGTGCGAAGGGGAGGCCGCAGAGGCGGTTTTGGTTTGGTGCTGCAGGCTCCGCAGATGCGGTTGGTTTTTCGCAGAAGCGGAACCGCATCTGCGAGCGAGGGATCGCAGAAGCGGAAAGTCGGGACTCCAGTGGAAGCCGCAGAAGCGGCATATTGTCCGCAGAAGCGGTACCGCGGAAGCGGAAATATTTCCGCAGAAGCGGAAATCGCTGAAGGCAGAAGGTGTTTTAAAATTGGGGTTTGAGTTCATTTCACCAATTTTCCTCTTGGTTTGGGCGATTTTTGGAGAGCCTTGTGAAGGGATTTCGTCATCTATGTTAAGGTAAGTTACTCCTGCTCATTTCCAAGTTAAATGCAAGATTATATCATGGAATTAGACATGAAAATTGTGGGAAAATTGGGATTTTTGGATGGAAACCTAGAACTTGATAAATTAGATTTTTACCACGAATTTGAGCATGGAAATAGGAGTAAATTGTATATTTGAGCTAGTGAAGCTATGGGTAGAGTATATCTTTGAGAAATTTCGGAATCCGGGCACGTGGGCCCGAGGGAATTTTGGTCATTTCACCAAGCGGAGTTGGGAATTTGTATAATTTGAATTGTTAACAATTGTTCGAGTATATTCTCATTAGTTGCCGTTATTTGTCTAGTTTCGGATCATTTTTGCAACGATTCGAGTCGTCGGGAAGGCTTGGAGGCCGTTTATGGATCTTCGGAGCGAGGTGAGTCTCCTTTCTAATCTTGTGAGAGGGAATTTACCCCATAGGTAATTTAAATTGGTTATGTGCTCCTATTTGTGGGGGCTACGTGCGCACGAGGTGACGAGAGTCCGTGCGTAGCTACTATTATGCTATTGTCCGGGTAGTCTAGGATCCAAAAGCATGTTATACTTAGATTAATTGTGAACCCATTGATGGCTTGAATTGCTTAAATCACATTAAATTGATAAATGGATTTCTAAAAAGACTTAAGCCCCGTTTTCTCAAATTATTAAAGAGAATTGGCCTTTCTTGGATATTTGCTCCATGTTGACGAGAGTCTGTCTGCGTGTGTTTATTTTTGGAACGGGCCGAACGCCTCGGCACATTAAATAGATGCATCTATGGTGCGGGCCGCTCGACCCTCGGCAGTGCACACTTTACATTTCTGTTGGAGCGGGCCATCGACCTCGACATGATTTGCGCATGTTTGTGCTGTTGTCTTGAACTTATTTGAGTTGTTTCATGCCTCACTATGGCTCGAGATCATATTGTTAATAATAACAAGAATCTAAGGAAATTTCCCATGAAAGAATTATATGTTTACTTGTTTCCTTTATCTGGATTAGAATCATGTTTATAAGATAAATCCACCGCTTAATATATATATTAAGGATGAATAATTATTGGACTATTAGAGAGTGTCAAAGTTCACCTTCTCGTCTCTACCCCTTCGGGATTAGGCGGGATACTCATTGGGTACACGTTGTTTTTGTACTCATACTACACTTGCTGTGCATTTTGTTGCACAGGTATCTGTAACTCCAGTAGCCCGCTGGGCATAGCAGCACGGATGATTCTGGGACTAGGTGAGCTGCATCATTCGAGACGGCCGCAGCTAGGGTAGTCCCTTCCAGTGTACTGTATTTACTTTCGTCCACTGTATTCCGGACGGATGTTGTATTTTATTTCTCTTATCAGTAGATGCTCATGCACTTGTGACACCGGGTTCTGGGATGGTTTGAAGTATTGTATTAATTGCTTAACTTTTAAATTTGATTTGAAAATTATATTCTTTAAAATTCCTAAATAATGAAGGAAAAATCCTGTATTTCAAAAGTGTTAAACTGAGATTTTGATTAAGTAATTTGGTTGGCTTGCCTAACAGCAGTGTCCGGTGCCACCACGACCCTTAGTGGATTTTGGGTCGTGACAACATGGTATCAGAGCTCTAGGTTCCTGTCGGTCTCATGAGTCATGAGCAAGTCTAGTAGAGTCTCGCGGATTGGTACGGAGACGTCTGTACTTATCCTTGGGAGGCTACAGGGCTGTTAGGAGTACTTCCCTTCTTGATTTCCTTATCGTGCGATTTGATTCCTCTAAGGCTTATGCCTTTGTTTCCTTCCTACTCAATCTTATGCGACGCAGAGCGCTTGTTGTAAATCGAGAATTTAAGAACTTCGATGGCACTACAGATGTGGTGCGGGATATTTCTCCCGGTATAGTTGATTGGACTACTACAGTCGCTCTATGGAAGGATATCTTATTGTTTCGGCTCGGTAGCGGTACTCCTGGGAGCCTTGAGGTTAGGCACAGGTTGCCATGATGCTTATGAATGATTTTCCGCGGTATTGATATGATGTCAGGATGTTTGCCTACGTGTGGAGGCAGTGAATGACTTGAAGGGAGGTTTACTCAGTTCGTGATTTAGAGATTTGGTATTTTGTTCCCGGCAGGGGGAAATGCAATCTGGCTGAGGATGTTCAGGTTGGGATGATGAGATGATGAGACTTGGTGTTTTCAAGTGTGATGGAGTCTCCTTCGGCGGCGTGGTATCGTCGTCCTCGATTGAAGGTGTTAAGTTGCTAGTATTATGGTTTTCTTCAATTCGCCTTTAGAGCAGGATATTGCGGGTCAATAATCAAGAAGTGACGGTCAGAGAATTGCGGAATGCGGTGTTTCAGGATGGGACCGGTGTTCCTAGTGTGATAGCTCGAGAAAGATGATCTTCGGAAAGGTTTAAAGTTAGTAGCGACTTGTGGGTTCGAATGCTATGAAGATAGATTTTATTTAAGGCAATAATTGAGCAGCAAGATATGAGGAAGGACATGTGGGAAGTGTTAGGCGGTGTTCAAATCTTCTAGAAGGCCAAGTACGAGGAGCAAGGACGAGTTGTCGATAAAAGGGAAGAGTTCCGCCAAAGTGGGAGAGTGGCGGGTATTGCATATGGGCTTGGTAGTAGGATGACTACGTGCCTTAAGGAGAGTTCGGAATGATTTGAGAATTTCAAAGATTAGTGATTGGGGCCTACAGATCTAACTTGAAGCATGGGCCATTATGCAGCAGAAGATTGGATATAGCGGAAAGGAGCTGCTGGAAATGAAGGAGGATGCAGCATAACTTTGAATTGGAAGGATATTGCCGCACATTTAATTGATGTCCACGAGGGGTAAATGGACTGGTGCAGCCAGAGAGTGAGCTTGGACTCAGGATTGGGTTATTGATGTCATAGTGATTGTATCCCGTGCAGCAGCATTTGAAGATGTAGGGAAGCGATTTCCATAGGTGGGTTATTTCCTGTGAGCAGGTTAGCGGTCGCGTGGTTGGCGAAGCTTCTGCAAAGAATTTTTATTGGTTGTTCAACAAAGAGATCGGCCGTGCGAATGTGGTTGATGATTCAGAGTATTAAAGGGGGTGTTTACCGAATGATTCCGAGAATTTTGGCGGTTGATTGCGCAAGGCTATGTCAATGAGAGATAAAGAATTCAGGT